GGGGGCCCTGACTGCACAGCCCCCTCCCTGCTCCCCTTCATTCCGTCGCCTGCGCCCACCCTCGCATACACCCTCAAACACGGATGTGCACGGGGCATGAACATCCTCAAAATCTGATGCTCGACAGTTAAAATCCAGATATTCTGGTCAGGCCAGAGAGCCAAGCCACGCGCGATCCGAAAGCCGCCAGGAAGGGAGAATCGTGCCCACCGGAGGCGGCACACAGGGTGCCCGCACCCCTCCGCTGCAGCAGGCCTGGCCCGGGCACACGGTCAGCGGGAGGGAACCGAGCCAGCCCTGCACCAGACCGGGCGGGAGGGCGGCGAGGGCAGCTGAGAGAAGGGCGAGGGCAGTTAGCAGTCACGCACTGCCCCGTGTGTCTGGGGCCAGCCCGGGGCTCTGACCGCCTCGTGGCGACTTTCTGCACTGTGCACTTGAACTGTGTCAGTCCTGGCATTGTGGCAGCAGCGCCTGCCAGCTTCGCCCTGAGTGGGTAGGCCCGGGGTTCTCCCACGCGGCCGAGTCCCCCCGAGGAGCTGCATTCCCTGCCTGTTCCCGGGCCTCCTGGTCGACCTTGACGGTGGGGTCCCAGCTCCCCTCACGCCGCAGCTTCTCACGGTTTCAAAATACCACACAGTGACCTGTAAGGACCTGGAGACTACTGGTGGTGTTTTTCTTGAAATCAACACCTTCCTTCCAGCTAGACTGAAATAAAGACGTTTGTCAGAAAGGTGTTGGGGCTTAATGACGACATGACAGGTAAATTGCTTGTTGGGTCTGAGTTGTGTAAATGTTCTCGATTAGAGGAAGCGTTGAGAGTCCAATTTGCCGACTGCTAAAGAAAAAAAAAATCGCTGAGCATTGCACACAGCTTGGGTAATTGCTTTTAATGAAGAACAAATGCAAGTGAAATACTAGAAAGCGAAATGCCACAGCTATAAATGCTCTAAGAGGCAGATTCTGCGTTGTCGGAAGTGGAGTCCAGCGTTTCCTGCATGCGGAGGTGGGTCGACGGGAGTCACCGTGGGGGCGCCCTGGCACACGCCGTGTCTGCTGTCCTGGCCTTCGAGCCTGGGCGCGGGCTCCGTCTGCAGTGCAGAGGGACGAGGGGCTGCCGGGGGCTTGGACGTGGCGGGGAAGTGGGGTCCTGCCCCCCTTCTTCTGTTCTGGGTTACTCCGCTGGCCAGGGAGGGACCTGGTGTCCGCAGAGTGTGCTTGCCAGCGGGTGCCCAGGTGTCCTCCTCCCTGCCAGGCGCTCAGCCTGTCCTCTTGCGCCTTAGAGCTGGCTCGCCCGCTGGCACACCTGCCAGCCCACGCCTTCCACCCTCCTCTGCACGCCACACTGCAGGTCTGCCTGCCACACGCTCCGCCTTTGCCAGAGCCTCTTGCAGTACCTGCTCCGTGAGCCTCCTTGCCGCGCCTCCGTGTCCGGTGTGACCGGGAAGGCAACGGACAGTCGCAGACGCACGCGGGGCGACGCGCCAGGTGAGGGGCCCTCCAGGCCCAGCGGAGCCCCGGCGGGGGCCAGCCAAATGTGCAGCCCAGCGAGGAAGTGTTGCGTGGCCACCTGGATGTGCGTCTGCGCTGCCTCACACCTGTGCGCACACGAACGGCTTGAGCTTGAGCCCTGTGGCCGGTGGATCGCTGAACCTGCCGGCCTGAGAGGGGGTGGCGGCAGCAGCTGACCCTGTTTTCAATTAACCTGGATACTTTCCGCAGGAGTCTCTTCCTGATACGCTGTCCGTCTTTGCATCTGCAAAATGGAGCCAGTGAGGTCCATTGCTGAGCTGATTGCAGACTCTGAGGACATGACACTCTGATGCCCGATACGGCTGCTCTCGCGCCTGCTGCTGCTAAGCTGCCCTGGGCTGCCCTCATGGGAATGGCCTGACGGCCATGTGGGGAGAGGCCCCGCTGGCCCTGCTGACACTCGGATCCACCTGACCTTTGTCTTTTGGGCCCAGAGCGAGCCCGTGTTCACAGAGCATCTTTTCTAGGGGACAGACACTGGCGTGGTTGGGGCGTGGGCCCCGCCTCAGGCGCCCCTCGAGCGGTGCCTGACCCCTCTGGCGGCCGCACCCCCCCCCACCGCAGGTTCTCCCGGCACTTGGCCTTGACCGAGGGGTGCTGTGCGTGTCAGGTGAGGGGGATCACACAGAGCCTGTGGGAGGTCACACACGTGCTCTCAGAATGTACAGCCTGGCCCAAGGTGATTTCCCTGGCCAACTTCCCGGGTCCTTATGGAATAAACCAAAGAGAAAGTCACCCCCCCCCAACGTTCTGGGGAGACAGACGGCCAGACAGGACACTGGCGCGGTGCCGGTTGAAGGAAGGAAAGGCCTTTCCTAAAGCACGTCACGAGGCCTCGGAGACGCCCGTGCGCACCTCTCTGGCTCCAAAATGGAAACCGTGGTGGCGAGCCTGGAGGCAGGCCGCCGGAAGCAGGCTCCTGGGGACGGACGGAGCGAGCCGAGACCCGCTTAGCTTGCACGCACAGCGTAACGAACCCCCAGATCTGATGACTGAGCCCCCTCC